GGGGGGGCGGGGGTGAGTTTACCTTTAGGCTCCCCTCCAGGGTGCAGCCAGCCTTACAGACAGAGCCATTGGGTAAATGAGCCCCAGGTGTCTGCATTAAGTAAACAAAGGTCAGGTGTCCCACTTAGGGATAAAAGCTGGGACCACTTACAGGGAGAGGGGAGTGTCTGTCTGTAAGGTGGATGCATTTTGCAGCGTTCCCTGTTGGGGAAGGACCTCCCCAGAACTGGGCTCCAGACAGGTCTGGTTTTTGTAAATGCAGGCTGTATAGGGATTCAGTATGTGGCTTCCTTGGTCTTATGTATTTGGCTTGTTGACTCCGTTGTCTCCCATCCTTTCTATGGGAGACTGCATTTCACCATTTATTCCACCCATTGTTGCTTGTGTGGTGTCATTGTTGGGGTCAGTGGGATTGATGTTGATTATGTATAATATGACTTATTTGTACCCCCAGTGCTCACCCCTGTATTGACCCTTTTGTATCAAATACAACTTGGTTATTGGTTCATCTTTATGCTGGCTGTGTCCTTTATGCTAGGCCTAATAATTGGGAAAACACAAGATTTGTGCTCTAGACCCTTCACCAGCTTTGTTGCTTTTCTTTGGATGTGCTCCAGCACCTCAATTTTTTCAGACAAATGGAAAATCACTAAAAGGAGAGATCTTCCCCTAGGAAGTGATACCTGCTTGGAACACTTTGCAGTTCAGAAGGCTACATATTCCTCTACATTTTATTCCATTAAATACTGCTAATAGCAATGCTCAAAACCTCACATCACACAGCAGTATAAGTGCTTTTCACCCAAGATCTCCAATCCCCCTATCATTTCCCCCGTTTTGAAGACACAGAAATTGGGACACAAAGAAACTAAATGGCTCTTCTAAGATGCTATCTTGAGCCTGTTCTCAGGTTGAAATGAAAAACTCAGAACTTGCGAATCCCATTTTGGTGCTGCAGCAGAGTGACATGAATCATTGTTTAGGAAGAAAATATTCTCCCTTGTCTCATTCAGGATAAGTCCCATGGGATACAGAACTTTTTAAAACCTGCTGTAAAAGCTGTAACTGTTGTCCCATGAAGTATACAGGGGTGAGCCCAGGAATGCACAAAATGTACTGTGCAGAGTACAACCCCACACTCCAGAACAGCTGGCTGTGAACAGATCAGTAGCTGCCTCTTATGGACCACTTCAGAGTGGTAGGACTGGGGAAAAGCCTGAAGAGTGCACCTAACATCTGCAATAGCTGCTCTGGTTGGTTCAGGATGAGAGCTGCAACAGGTCTTGTAAAGTCCATGTCTAAGTCCTTTAGCTGCAGTGGAGACCCATGAGACTGGGACAGTGGGAGATGGAGCAGTGGAAGAGAAACTTTTATACTATTTTCTTCCTTCTGAAACTTCAATCTGTTCTCATACTACCTCTGTCTAGCAGAAGTCAGCTCAGTGTCAGAGATTAGATGGCAGCAGTTTCTGAAGCACTTCTATTTAGTCTAAAGGGAATGGCCTGTTCAGGGGCCAGGAGCAAAAATACAAATGCCATCCAGTTATGGCTAGTTCAGAGCAAAAAAAGTAACAGCTGCATGGCAACTCTTCCTGTTCTTACAGAAGGCCTTTCCCATGAAGATTGCTCCCTGGAGACTGAAACAGGGCCTGTTAGAGAAAAAAGCCAGGGAGGAATGGTTTTACATAGCCATGGTTTCCATTCCAGGCATGGCAACTTTCCTATGGTTTTTCTGTAAAAGAAAGACCTTTTACAAGTTAAAAAAGTGCAGTCCACTGACAGGACTGTCACATTGACTCCAGTGGGATAGGGCTTTCAGCTTGCCTTTCACCCCCAGGCTTGAAATACCTTCCTGACAGTGTTACCAGCAGTATCAGCCCTTTGATCTCAGTGGTCTCTCTCAACAAGATGAAAGGGAGGGCAGACTGGAGAAGCAGAGTATTTCTCCAAACAACCTACTCCTTATTTTAGGGAGACCACTGTAAGCAGAGGTTTGAGAATCACTGGTGTAAAGGCATTGTAAGCACAGCTAGAAAACATATCCTGTTATGCTGGCTTCAAAAGCTGGGAGAAAGGATGGAAAACATTCCATTACATGAACACTTTACCTAGTGATAAAACACAGCTGCTTTAACAAAAAAATTTGTCTCCCACTGTCAATTGGTATTCAGTGTGTATGGCAACTAAAAGGGGTCAAAATGATTACCATGACAATCCAACTAGGATTAAATTTCACTTTAAATGTCAGGGTATATATTGTAGGTCAAGCTCATCCCTGAACTGCATCAAAAACATAGTTGTTCTATGAGGGACGTCAGAGTGGATCCTGTCTCCGTATGTCTACTGCTCTGAGGCAATAAACAAAGGAGCTAACAAAACTCAGACACATTGGTCTATATTCCGCTAACTTCTATTAAGATAGTTTTCCTTGAGGTCAACCTTCTTGCTCATGTGAGTACAAAACACAGGGTTCTAGCACAGGTAGCATCCATCTGCACAATTTGTTGAATATTGGTGTTTTCTATAAAGTAAAAGACTTTCTTTGGAAAAATACTTAAAACTTCATTAACATTTTTTCTCTCTGTCTCTCAGGTACCCCACACAACCCTGTCGTTTTGGAAAACTTTTATTGCTTTTACCAGCTTTACGTTCGATTAGTCCATCTACAATAGAAGAAGTGTTTTTCAAAAAGACCATTGGGAATGTACCAATTACAAGACTGCTTTCAGATATGTACAAATCCAGTGACATATAAATTACCTTAAAATAAACAGTCAGGATGGACAGTTTGAGAAGAACTTTTATCTATGGAGAATAAACCTCAACTAACAAAATCTACAGGAAGCATAAGCCTGGGAATGTTTAGCCTTTAAACCCATTGACAAAAAATACCCCAGTAGATATGATTCTGCTGCTCTGAACAGAGTGATTTAGATCATGGAGAGAATGATTTGTTCTACAGAAAAAGTGAAAGTGGTTGGAATTTGGCTGCTATTCCTGTTACTACAGGATGAAGGCAATTCAGATGCCAGTCATAGTTAACAAAGACTCTGCTATTCTCTCATTTAACTGGCAGATCTGAGACAAAATGTGAAAGAAGGTACTTTAGTTTGTTCAGTATTTGGAACCGGGTGACCAAACTTGGCTTCTGTTGTAACATGAGATGTGGCCTTCAGAACTTTTAAAAGTAGCCTATGTTGGGAAAATGTTTTTAATATGATAGGCAACATTTAAGACCAGGTTACCAAAACATTGCTTCTGCTATAATACATCATGAAGTGGCCTTCAGAACTGATTAAAAAGTAGCTTATGACAGCAGCTCTCTTCTTCCTGCAAAATGAACTGCTGATTCTTGATGCGGATGTCACTACAATTTGTTCGGTTAACATCTCAAAGACAGAAGAGCTTTATACACTTCCTCCCCGACCTTCCCTCCTTCTTCTTCCACACACACTCACATTCACACACACACACCTGAAAAGACGCAAGTCAAGAAAGGAAGACTAAAACAGCAAAACCAAATACAATGGAGATGACCGCTTCAGTGACCTGCTGGCTGTCCCGTTGGCACAGTGCTGAAACCAAAGGCAACGGTGGCCAAACTCTTTGTCAATGAGATGTGCAGAGAAGTGAAATGACTATAAAAAAAAAAAAATCAATGGAAGGAATTTTATGTCAAAAAAGAAAGGTTGTTGACTGATCCAATGCTAACAATTTCCAAAAGTCTCCAATGCCTTTTTAGAAAACTCCAGGTTCTAATTTTGAAGCCTTGTTCGCCTACACCCTCTCACACACAAAACCGTTATAAGCTGCTTATTTGATGTATGAAAAATGTAGAAAAAACATTTAAAGATAGCTGCTGTACTTTTCAAAATTTGATTTGTTATTAGGAACTAGCACTGAGAAAAATCAGCACTTGGACTATCATAGAATGAGTAAAACTTTTCCTGTACAAAGTGGATTAACTGATTTGTGAAGTTAAAAAGTTGTACTCATTGTATTTACAAAGAATAAAAATATATTGAATTTAAATTACTTTCCACTGTTCTTTTAATGCTTGCCTTCCTATTTCTGGATTAGTTTCTTCCACTGTAGCCTACTTACCATAAACAATGGAAATGTTCTCTACTAAAATGGATTGCCTTGGATACTGTGGGGTCTCCACCATTAGAGGTTTTAAAAAACAAGTTAGACAAACATTAAAGGAATAGCTTAGGTGATCCTGCCTTTGAGCAAAGGGACTTTGAGGTCCCGTCTAAAACTGTTTTCTGTAATTCAGATATACACCTGCTCCAAGGTTTTCTAGGACAAATACTAAACAGATCAGAGGTCCAACTTAGTAGAAGTCTTTTGTTTCATGTTACTACAATTTTTAATAGCAGTGAATTGTTCAGCTAACAAAGGGTGATGAGCATAAAAACTCTGCTTCAATTAAAAAGATTCTGAGGTTTTATTAATGTGTCCAATTGTGTAATCACACTAAAGAAAGAGGTAAGCAACTTCCAATGCACAGAACAAGTTGCATATAGGAGAAGGGAAATATACCCTTCATATGGCAATGAGTGACTGAAGAGTCATGCACGCTAAAACGAGAGGTGGAAATGTACAGTGTATATCAATGGCTCATTGGCTTTCAGTGTCAAGGAATACAGATCACAAGGGAAATCCTAGATCTATTGAATCCAAGAACAAAAATCGTATGCATTTCAGAGGTCAGTTTTCACCCCAACTCTCTATCATTTGCAGTCTGCTAGGTCTCACATTCTAGCCTTTCCAAGACAGACAGACCATAACACATACAAGACCAGTCTTTTGATGAGTTGGGTGAGACAAAAGCATGGACTTCAAAACATATTCTATACAAACTAGCACAGAGCACTTGAGAACGCATTTACCACAAGGCATAGTGCATTCTGAGAAAGAAAATTTATGAAGTGTTCTTCCTGCAACTGCAATAACCTTCAACAATTTTCCACTCTTTACACTAAAAAGAACCAGATAGGACAGAAAAATCAATTGTGGTTCTCCACTCTGTGACAATTCAGTTTATGAGTTAAAGTTGAACCCAGTGCTGTGCAGAACCCATGACAGAACACTCATTTCAGTAAGATTTATGCTGCTGTCCTGGAGCAGCAACAAACATGAACTGCATCCACACTGCAAGTCAGCCGCACTCCACAGTGTGCTGTAGTCCCAGCCCCTAGATCACCCAGGCTGGAGGGTGCAACAAAGTACTACTGACTTTCTCCCTGTTGTAAAGCAGGCAGGCAATGGGTGCACACCCACATCTCATCCTCTTACCTGCAGGACCTAGCCCACCTGCAGAGCAGACTCACAACCTGGGAACAATGCTCAGATCCCTGTGGTGTACACACAGCTAATCTCAGACCACATTTTCCTCCCAGTACTGCAGACAAGCAAAAGCAGCTACACGCTACACAAGAATTAAGGTCTCTAGTTAGTCTTGAAGGACTGAAAGGGAGATGAAATTTGAGTGCAGTGCAGATGTCCTGTTAAGTTCAGAGGTTAACACTCTCAAGTCCTCACTTAAGAAATAGGAACACTGACATCAAGCATGCAGCTTTTCCCTCTTCAGCTTCTTTTTTTTTCCCCCCACATCAGATGATACAGATTGTGTCATCATATTTTAGGGATAAGATGGGACATTTACTTTGATTTCCGAAGAAAACTGCTCTCAGAAAAGAATAGAGAAAAGAAAAAAAACACCTTATATACATCTAAATCTAAATAATAAAACCTCATATACATTTAGCCCTTCTTCCCCCTTTCTAAGAGTAACTCAACTTTTAAGTGTGATACAACAAGCACAGAGAATTTTGATTTTACATTGTCAAAAACTTATTGAAAACCTAGACTGTATTGAAAAGCTAGACAGCTCTGAGCTGCAAGTGAGCTCTGTCAGTTTTGGTCCCTGGTTTCATGAATAGGACTGCTGGAGAGATTCAGCACAGTCTTTATTAAGTATGAGGGGAAAAGAGCAATTATTTGAGCATCTAACACTTTGGTGTAGCTAGTCACTAGTACTACATATAATCCAGTCAGCCACCACTGTTTTCTCAGTTCAATCTTTTACATCCAGATTTCCCTAAGTGAGACTAATGGTCTTAGTTAAACAAAACAAATAACTTTGTCAGTAAGTTTGTAGGATGTTCTCAACAGTGATGTAAAATGGAAAAAACAGTGGAGTCAACAAGCCAACATGGACTTACTGTTACCAAATAGCACATAACACTGGATCAGAATGTTACTAGTGTTCTTGAATCTGTTTTCAAGAGCATCTGGTTAGGTAACTCCCATGTCACATATGGCAGCACTAAGAAAGCTTCTCCAGCCATAGAAGCATCTAGTGAGAAAGACTACTTCAGCAAGTGTTGCTTATGAACTGCAAGTCATGCATCAGCCACCTGCATTTTACCAGTGGTCATACAGGCACAACACTACAGCTTCTCCTTCAACTTGTCTATGACCTTACAGCCATCTTATATAACTTCACGTCCCTAATTGTATTTGTAGAACAGAGCTACTTTTATCTAGGACTGAAGTTATAATACACTATAGGTTATGTGAACACACCTTTCTACATAGGGTGGTATAATTTTCACTTTCTAGTTTGATGCTTCTCATGCCAAGTAGAAAGGACTCTATTCCCAAATTTATTGAAGCTACAGATCTGTTGACTGTCTACTGTGAATGGGGTTCCAGCTTCAGTTTCACAACACAGGAACAACCTTCAATACCTTTATACCTTAAACACTTGAGCAGTGAGCGCCAGCATCTAAGGTATTTAGTGCTGGCTGTTAGTAACACAGGACTACATTGCAGAAAAGCATCATAGCAAGGCTGAAACACCAGTTCACTTAGTATAGTCAAGTCCCTGCTTCTCAGAAAGCATGAGATACCCCACACTCAAGGTCAAGAGTGACAAAACATTTGCATTTTCACTTTTATTTCAAAACTTTAGACAAGTTACTTTAGTATATAAATTTGATTTTTTTCCTCTTACAGAATATAAAGATAATTCCCTCATTACTTCAGTATAAAGTGTTTTACAAGCTTGAAGACAATTGCATAAGTGTATCTCACACAGGGTATCAGAAATAAAGCAGTCTTTCTACAGAAGTTCAGACAGATGACTACCTCAGAAACAGCGCAGCAGTTTAGTCAAATACAAGTGAACACGTGACACTACAACTGTGCAAGTTCAAGTAAGGCCAAGTCAGTAAACATTTGTTAAGTCATTGCAAATAAGAGTGGAAAGGTTTGTGAAACATTGCAAGGGGTGGATGGTCTCATAATATAATACTCTTAAATCAAGGATTCGGAGGGATTTACCTAGAAGACAAGTGAGTTCTTCAATGCTACAAAGCATATGCAAAGACCAAGCAGTGTACTGATGTTAGTGGAGACTTTGTGCCTGTTTATCCTCAGCATGCTAAGACAAACTACAACCTCTTAAAACCAAGCATAAGGAGCACTAATGTTTGAGAAGACAGTTTCAGAACTCAAGTATGTCTTATTTTGGATGGTGTATAGTTTTTGTCTATTACTTCATCTTGTAAGAACATGTGAAGACAGCGCTCGTTCTGTGCCAGTGGGTGGCCTGCAACCCTGGAGAGGAAAAAACATGCATTAGTGCTAAAAAAAGTCAAGTCTACATGCAGCTAGTCAGCAGAGCAAGGTTTTATACCAATAACCCATGGTTCTGCACTTCGGCATAGATCCCATTCCAGTTGACTGTTGGTGACTAGAATGATGTTTGGCAGCAAGATCTGTCATCCTCCCCCAGACAAAATTAGTCCATAGGAAACCTGAGCTACCTCTGATCATCTGGAAGCATGTTATGTCATTTATCACCTGCAACTGACAGGACTATCAAAGTGTCCATCCCAGCATTAGGAAATCTAGAGTTAAGCAACCAAGCATATTTTTACAGGTCTTTATGCCTTTGACACAGGACACCCTTCCAAAGGCTGCTTAACCCCTGAGTTCTCAGTTTAATTCCACAGCAGTTAGCCCAGGCAGTTAAAGACTTATTCATTCCACCAGGGGGTGTGAAGGTCTTCTGAAAGCTGACACTAAAGAGCAGTGACATACCATGGTCACCATTCCTAGCATCTACAAGCAGCACTGATGCACAGCCAGAGGGTACTGGCCATTCTGTTAATTGCAGATGTATTTACATATGAAACATGGGAGACAGAGCTTGTCTGCTCTAGAAGAGACTTTGATTTAGTTTTGTTCCACATATAGGCTGAGCCACCATCCTTTTAAAACTCAATTTCAGATTCTCTACTGTTAAGACACTCCCAAGCTCAGCAGAAAGCCACAACGTATTGCATTTAAATCCTTAAAATACCATGCAGCCTTTCGGTAATAATCTAAGAGAACCAGAATCCCTGGAAGATAATCACTTACAGATATGAAAACCTAAAGCAGTATGGTTTGAAGAGTTATATCCAATTTGGTCAAGACAGGCTTCTTCCTTTAAGAGAGAAAGTTCCCCCATCCTCCCCTAGGGCAGCTTATGTCAGCCTTATAGCCTCTATACCTGTCAGAACACTTCCAGTGTAAATGGAAGTTACCTAGTTGAACACGTGTAATACAGTCAAATCCAGTGGTTCAGCATCAGTACTTTCAAACACTTTTGTGCATCTTCTCCAAATGTATCCATTAGTGCTTATTTCACCACAGGACAGACCTACTTGTCACTGAGGGTGTACTTTAATGATAATGCTGAGCTCTCCTATTCAACACTGTTTATTTCAAGTGCAGTCATAAAACCTATCATCTTGGCAAGTTCTAGTAAATGGACAGTTTCAAACACTAGTTAACAACAAAAACAGTCTAGGATAACTAGTTTGAGTTTCTTACCCCCATCAGATTGAAGTTGCTGGCCTTGAACTTCAAGAGAAACATATTCAGGACAAGATGATGAGGCAGCAGCATATCCTTCTCCCTTTCAGGAAAGCTTGCAAATTGGTGGTTGAACTCCAAGACTATATCTGATCTCTCTGACTCAGCTCTTGGTTTCACCAAGAATACCTCACTCTGCATTGACTTTTCCTCAATATTCTTCACTAAGGTGACCCTTACACATAGCAGCTGCTACTTCAAGAATTTTCATGTATCCCAAAGGCAGGTTCAGGCAGACAAGAATACTGCAACATAAGTGACCCCTGTGAATGTTGCTCTACGTAATGTTGCTGGTGGGGTCAGCAAGTCAGCTCTCTTAGGCCAGCTTAAGTAAGCCACACTGCTGTGTAAGCTGCTCAACAATATCAATCTTAACACTCCTGGTTATCAAGAGCTCACCTCAGTGCACCAAGATCTTTTTTGGATATTGTGATATTGATTATCTGAGGGACTGTTCTCTAGTTCTAGAAGCAAAGACCAGCTTTGAGAATGCAGTAATGTGAATGTATTGTGCAAATTACCTTCAGGTCTAAGTTCAACAGTACTCAAAATACTTGGTAGAAGCCTTAAAGCTTCTACCTGGTTCAAAACTTAAATTAGTAATACCTGTTTGATGAGTTGGTTATGCCATTAGAATAAACTGATGAGGCTGAACAACTAGTTGTGTCTGAGAAGCCTTGTTCCAGCTGTACTCAAGTCTGCCACTACATCAATATCTACATTAACAGTCTGCTTTTATGTTTCAAAGGAGGAAAATTTGACCAAGAAGTTTTACACTTCCACAAGATCAACATATTATTGCTATAGGACTCAAGTGATATTAGTAAACTGGCCACTCTGTCAGTTATACTGAATTTTTCAGAGACTCCAGTTAAGATGACTGTTTCACTATCAGCTGCTTCAGAATATACAGCCCCCTTCCCCCACATATTACTTGACTCAGCACACAGAACTTTCAGTAAGTGTACATCTTCTGCATTTAATGTAGAGTCCCAAGCCTGCACAGATAAAAGTTGTACTTTACAGTCATGAATGCCTTGACTGCACAGGCTTAAAAAAACCCCACTTCCCATCTTACCATAAGCACATCTGCCTTTATGTAGTGTAAATGCAAAACTAAATATTTTGGAAATTCATTCCACTTGTCTTGGAACAGAGGTAAGAGCAGTCAAGCATTTTACCTGCTCAGAACCATTAACAGTACCTCTAAACTGAGCTAACAAACAACTATACAAAATAAAACTTAAGAGATTTTATATAGTCACACACATACAGTCAAGAACAGATAGCTTTAGGAAGCTAGTCACTTGCGACTCCAAGACACATGCCTGAAATGACTAACAATAACTGATGAGCAGATTCTGGTAAGTTCTGGCTTAACTCACAGACATCCTCTGTCCCTGTTAAATAGCATTACTATTGAACAAGATTAGAATGCTAGGGGAATGACAAGCTTGAACTTTTAAAAGGAGCAACCCCAAATCTAGTTGGTCTGAACAGTGCTGGCTTTACAGACCAGAGCAGCTGGTTAACTGACAATATTCCTTCTTACCCACCATTTAGATAGACATTATTGAAGATACTAAAGTAGCTCTTTAGGTCAATATACAAAGAGTGGTTAGTGGAGTCAGATGGTAGAAAAAGAATTGTAAGATTTTGTTACTACAATTTCTGCTTACTGTTTGAAAGGTAGTGACAAAACCCAAAGTGTCTATTTCAAACTATATATGTGCATACCTCAGGTAGTGTTTTTACATCTTCAGAAAGATTCTCATGATTAGAGAAAACATGCATCATTACACAAGCTGATAATATCTCCCATCTGCAATCAAAGTAAACTGCTGTAAGCCCACTGTAAGTTCCATTGTTCACCCAGAGGAGGTTACCTTTTCAGAAATGAAAAAGTAGAACTATTTTGAACACTATAATTTTAGTAGTATTTTGCATAAATTATCACCACCAACAACATTCATTTCAGTTGTTCAGGTAGGCATTAAGATATCCAAACTAAACACTGGGTGAGCAGTGTTAGGATGTTCTACTGCAGGATTATGTGAAAGTCATTATTCTGAACCTAATGCAGCTACCATAGTTAGAGGATTAGTAGCTTTAATTCAGTTTTCCAGAGTCAAGTTATGGGTTTGTCTCCAGATAACTAGACCCAACACTTACTTGTTTATGAATTGTTCAAGAGCCTGCTTCCTTTCCTCTATAAAGGAATCATCAAATATGCCATCATCTCCTCGGAAGGGGAGCTGACGGAGAAGAGCTTTTCCTGGTAGAGGTGGTACCACAACCTGAAAAATTTAGAAAAGTGTCCTTAAGGGCAGCCTGTAAGCAAGTTGATGCATGTCCTGTGCCACCTAGAGGACCCAGCTCAAGCACATCTCTAGTAAAGTAATAAACATGACCAGAGAAGAACAGTATCTGCCCATAGAGGCAGTTTAACTCAAAACCATTAAACAGCCTCTAGCATCGTATAACTAGGCCTTGCTGAAAGACTGACACAGTGGTTTAGTTTTGGACATTTTCAACCACAATATCTGCTCTATACGATATATATGCTTTATAATATAATGATAACATTTCAGCATCACTACCCTTTATGTCTATGAAGATTCTACCTTTCATTTTACCCACCTTGCTTTCCCTTTCCAGTTCATTCCTTAGCCATTCAAAGTCACTGTATCTTCTTCTGACTGTGGATTCTTTCAATTTGAAGATTGGTAGATTTGTCTGAAAACAAGAACATATTGATTAGGCAAATTAGAAGTTTTGATAAGCAGAAGCAAGAAAAAAACTGTTAAGTTACAAATTAGTTCCACTTAAGCAACAACAACAGTATTGAGAAACACTCAAGATACAAAGCTTTATTTCTGTAAGCTACACAAGTAAGCTGTGCCTCAAACTGCTTAACAGTGGGCCTTATTTATATGGCATCCTAATTACTGGTATTTTGCCACCACATCACCTAGCAGAATAGCAGATTTGCTGGCCACTTAAGGACATGTTCCTAAGGTTGCACAAGCATCTGTTGTTCTTACTGTCTCAGAAGCTGGATTCCCAAAATATATGTACAAAACTGGAGGAGAAAGAAGGGGAGGGGGCAGAAAAAGTAATCTTATTCCACAGAGTCCTTTTATTGCATTCAACGGAATGTTTCAGGTACCAGCACAGGACATTAACTAAGCTTCCTGTACTTTTCTGCTACCTGATAAAACAAGGCATCCAACATCTCTAAAAGCAAACCCAGTAAGTCCTACAGCAAATCTATTCAGGACAGATAAAGATGAAGATTTGATAGTACAGGCTGCCAAGTTTGGCGAGCTCCAAAGAAGTCAACAAGGCTGAGATGCAACACAACATTCAGTACTGATATTAGACTGTTTTGCTAGAAAGTTAAACCAAGCAGAGCTTGACTAGACAGAACTTTCCTGAACAAGGCTACAAGTCAGCACCCAAATCTAACACCCTTGAAAGAGATATCAGATGGGAGTCAGGCTATAATGCTGCACAAGACCATGTTAACTACACAAGCCCTCTGATACATGTCCTTACACTAACTTGTGTGAGAGCCAGTACTACTTCTGTTCATTCTTGGGGTGCAGTGTTATCCCATTGTTGTAATCCAACTCACATGTTATTTGAAGACCAGACATTGTGAGACCTCTCTCCTAATGACATCCCCAGAATAGAAAGCTCCAAGACCACAGTCTGAAGCTTAAGTGTCACTGAGATGGCAAACCAGCTAGAGTGTTACAAAAATGACTGTAGGAGTTATGACCTACTAAAAGCAAGAAAGAGTCTGTAATTGCCATACACAGCCAGCAATAACAGAATAAAGCTTATTGTCATCAGATAGAATATTCACTAACTGTCTTAAAATACCTTTAAAGACTCTTGAGGAGTACTCTGGAAGCTGATAGTTACATAGGACTGCAGTTATGCCCAGTTTTCCTGTTGGCAGAAGCACAGTAGTCATTCTCAGCTTGTGCTTTTGTTGGTTTTTTTTTTTGTTTGGTTGGTTCATTGGTTTGGGCTTTTTTCTTTTAAGTTGTAAGCCATCTCAGAATCATAGATTGGTTTGGGTTGGAAGGGACCTTAAAGATCATCTAGTTCCAACTCCCTGCCAGGGGCAGAGACACCTACTAGACCAGGTTGCTCAAAGCTCCGTCCAACCTGGCCTTGAACACTTCCAGGAAGGGGGCAGACACAACCTCTCTGGGCAATCTGTTCCAGTGCCTCACTACCCTCACAATAAAGAATTTCCTAACATCTAATACAAACCTACCCTCTTTCAGTTTAAAACCATTACCCTTCATCCTATCCCTACACTCCCTGATAAAGAGTCCCTCCCCACCTTTCCTATAGCCCCCCTTGAAGTAGTGGAAGGCTGCTATAAGGTCTCCCTGGAGTCTTCTCTTCTCCAGGCTGAACAACTCCAACTCTCTCGGCCTGTCCTCATTGGGGAGGTGCTCCAGCCCCCTCATCTTCATGGCCCTCCTGTGGAGTCACTCCATCAGGTCCATGTCCTTCTTGTATTGGGAGCCCCAATGCTGGACACAGAACTCCAGATGGGGTCTCACAAGGGTGAAGTAGATGGGGAGAATCACCTCCGTCAGCCTGCTGATCACATTTTTCTTTATGCAGCCCAGGACACAGTTGGCTTTCTGGGCTGTGAGCACACATTGCTGGCTCATAGTCAGTATTCCATCCACTACTACTCCCAAGTCCTTCTCCTCAGGGCTGCTCTCAATCCACTCATTGCCCAGACTGTATTTCTGCTTGGGATTGCCTTGACCTGTGTGCAGGACCTTGCACTTAGCCTTGTTGAACTTCATGAGGTTTGCACAGGCCCACCTCTCAAGACTGTAAAGGTCCCTCTGGATGGCATCTCCCTTCCCTCCAGTGTGTTGACCGCACCACACAGCTTGGTGTTGTTGGAAAAGTTGCTGAGTGTGCACCCAATCCCACTGTCCATGTCTCAGTAATTTACAAATTATAAAGTACAAAACAGTATTTTGTTATGAAATCTCTTATTGCTAAATACTTAAAAGTACTCAAGCCCTCCTTCCCAGGTAAAATGATTGTACTAGCAACTACAAGTAAAATTGCACTTAAGACTTATGTCAGAAGTCAGGCTTTATAAACAAACACTCTTGTCTTGAGGATAAGAATACTCTACTCAAGAGTGAATAAAGCTAGGTCCCCTGGAGTGCATGAAGGAAATTCCCAGAAGTACTGGATTATTTTTCTCTGATTTCAGCTATTGGTTTTTTTAACCAAGTTCAGCCTTCCACATTACAACATCAACTCTTTGTCAGTGTCTCGGGTAAAAAGTCCTTTACAATATTTAACATATAGGCTCTCACCTGCAGAAAATATTCCATTCTCCTCTCAAGTTACTTACAAGAGGGATTAGAACTGAATAAAAGCGGCTAGAAACCAATGAGTTCCCAGGTCTTCAGGAACTCTTTTCATGCTTCTGGGCATAAAGTCTATAAAGTTAATCTCTAAGCAATTTATCAGGCTTACAGGTACAATGTGGGGGTAGAAGTGCCAATTGAGCTCATTTTACCTTCTACATTCCCTTTTGAACTTTTGACATGCTAGCCTAGCTGGCACATTGGAGAAAAGGACAGTTAGAGTACTTGTTTTCCCTTCAAGTTGAAAAAAATCTTCTCCAGTTTTGATCATAAGCTCTAGAAATGTTCAAATTGAATTTAATGGGAGCTTTCTAGCATGCTCTTAAGAGGCTTACAAGTCACAACTTGACAAGTACACAGAAAAGGAAGTGTGTGTCCCCTATCCCTTGGTCTGGATATGAATTAGAGCTATCTGGTGAGATCAACTTATAAATCCCACACTTCCTAAAATCCAGAAACAGCAGCAACTCTTTCTTCAGAAATAGTACTGATAAAGCATCATTCTTTAGATATGCAGCTGTTAGAAAGGATCTATTTTTAAAAAAGCAATCTGAGAATCCTGTTTTATACTGGTTAATCTATTTACAACTTAGATCCCTATTTTTATATATTCGCATCTGAAGTTACTGTACGTGCCTTTCTTGTCCTGGTTTCAGCTGGGATAGAGCTATTTTTTTTCTTCTTAGTAGCTCAAATAGTGCTGTGTTTTAGATTCAGTATGGGATTTGGTATGAGAAGAATGTTAATGTTACTGATGTTTTCAGTTGTTGCTAAGAAATCAAGGACTTTTCAACTTCTCATGTCCTGCTACAGTGCAGGTACACATGAAGCTAGGAGGGAACACAGAGCAACAGACCCAAGCTGGCCAATGGAATATTCCATACCATACAACATAATGATTAGTATATAGATGAGGGTTGACTGGGAAGTTTCCTCTCACTTCTGGGATTGCAGTTTGGGGATTTTCTCTCCTCTAGGATCACTAGCCAGGAATGGGCTGGGCATCAACAAGTGGTAAGCATACACACTGCGCATTGCTTGCTTATATCATTATTATGATAATTATTTTATTATTTTATTTCATTTAAATTGTTTACCTCAACCTATGAGACTCACCTTTCCCCCTCCAATTCTCTCCTCCATTCCCTGAGGCAGGGGAAGATGAGCAAGTAGTTGCATGGTGTTTGGCTGCTTGGCCAGGCTTGAACCACAGCACTCATTATTACCCTGAGTAGACCACTTGCCTTCAGTTAAAAGGGGTTTCTGCATGTCCTACTACCTCCATCTACCGTGGATAGATGGTTTTTATTAAGCAAGCCAGACAGCTACTGAAGCAAGGGCTATCATTGGGCAAGAATTTGGCAGAAAGAGACAACCCAAAGATGTCAACAGAAGCTTTCAATTTCTATTGAAGTGTCAACTTCAAGACCATACAGCATATCAAAGAAGTTATGTTGAGAGTGATCCTTGTTTAATCACTGAGGTGCCAGTAGCTGTTCTGAACACTTAGTGCTGTGTTTGCCTACTAGAACAGAGATGAGTAAGGCACAAAACCTGAAGTCAGCCTTGTTTGATTTTTAAACATTTCTTCCCATGCTCATTCAGCATTATAGTGTCAGCTTCCTGACCTGCTGATCTGCAAAGTCTACTGTCATGAAACTCACGACCCAGTTTGTCACAGCCAATGGAGCATAGCTCATTCCTCTGATAGATTCAGCATAATTACTGCAGCAATTGTTTCTTCTACATTATAATATTTAGTCTTATTTTTATCAAAAACATTTTCAATAACTTCCTAATCCAAAATCATGCCTCTTAGCAGTTTGAATGCAAGCCCTCAGCCAGAAAGGATTATGCATTACACAAGACATTAGACAACCAAAAGTCACTAGTCAGACTTGCAGATAAAGAATTATTCCAGAAGGATGAATAAACCACGTCTGCACAAATTCCACATAGCCCCAAATCCTAAACATAGGAAGATGCTAAGACAAGACAGATTCTGACTAGTATCGCTTCTCTACCAGACTATATGTAGACATGCATTAGGCTTTCTCTGGCTACTGTCAAACAGAGTCTGCATTCTGCTGGGTGAGTTAATGGCTGAGCCAGTACACTGGAACAGTGTCAGAACTGGTGCCAAGTTAAGTTACATAGTTAAACAGTAGATGACAAACCCAGACCCTTAAGTCACTCCTGCATTCCTCCACTCAGATGCCAAACAGGTTTCTACAGTCATTTGGCTAGTGGTTCAACAAACTGGTAACAGGAAGCAGTGGTTGCCTGCTAATACATTTCAGGGCAAAACTTGTATTCAGACTAAGTGTGTTTCTTCAGCTACATTTATGTTATAACAACATATTCAAACTACAAATCCAACTCCAAGCTCAGGAGGTTCCCCATTCACCTCAGCAGCAAATGACAGTCTTAAGACAGTAGTTTGGATAACCAGGTAACAGTCTTCTAACTGTTACTACAGTCAATCCCTGAGCTATATCCAGTTAGAAGTTCAAAAATTGTTCATGTATAAAAGTGAGGAGACTTTCACTGGCAGAATGCAAGTAGTTTGAGTACTAGTCAATACTGTCCATTCAGCTTCAGATACACAGCCCTCCAATGCAGCCATTGTGGTATACAAGTTACCTTAAATGCAGGAGGAAAACTAGAGTACTTTAAATACATTAGTTTATAATTCTAAGTAATTTTAACAGTTCTAGATCTAGACCAGATTAATTTATCCAGTGAGTGAAAAAAGCCTTGAAAATAGCCAGACTTGCTCCTACAAATTTGTTTGCAGGTATAAATTGAATGCAAATAGTAGCTGGGTTACTTCAAAAAGCACACTAACACTCCACAAGATTGACTCTGAATGTCACTGCAGCCCAGTCCACCCCCACAACTGCAGAAACTCCACAGCTGTAGTTGTCCAGGATAGTTTGAGGTAAATTTGATTCATTTCCTCATCTGTCAATGTAGCACTCAACAGCAGCACTGCAATGCCCATGTCTCCCACTTCTAACTGACTGAGAATAAAGCTGCACTGTTGCCATAGCACCTACTTTGATGTTGTCTTTTCAAGTAGGTTATGGTAGCCTTGATACAACTCTATTTCCATTAAAATAGAGTGAAAGAAAGCACTCATCTCACTTTTGATAGAAGTTTGTGGCCTTGACTCTTAGAAGCTAAATTCAAGCTTCTTACTACCTCTTCATACAAGCTGTAATCTTTGTCAAGAGACTACACCCTTTGGCTACATTTACAGTCAGCCAATGGAAGCTCTGGGGTATTACAGTAAGTAGCATTCAGGGTGGATAAAAAGTATTACTGTTTTCTTAATGCAAGAGCCTGCTGTCCTTTAGTACAAGAAATTGGCTCCAGCAGACCACTGTTATTGCATAAACCTTGCCAGTGGTTTGTTTCCTTCCCGACTTAAGCAGCTACCTCCCCATTTCCTACAATTATAAAAAACAAGAAGGCAAACATGCTCTAAATTTCAGTTGCCAGAAGTTTAGATTTTTTTTTCCTGTGTACTTTACTGAAGGAAAACAAAAACCTCTTTCCCCGCTGTAAAAGGTAAGATTAGAGGTTGCTATTTTTCTAAGTTTCAGTCCTTTTGATCAAAGCAAAGCTCCTCTTTTATCACTTGGTATCCACATCTACTTGAAGATACATTACATGCAGAAATTATCTAAATTTAATAAAACACTGAAAAAGCTGATCATATGTACACACCCAAGTTTTAAACAATGCTGACTTCAGCTGTACCAACTACTGTACCACTTCACAGTAGAGACATGGAGCCAGGATGTTTTTCATCTTAAAGACTAAGGCAGTGAAATCCTAACAGCAACACAACAACAAAGACTACCAGTCTTTAGCCAAGAGTTAACCTTTGTCAAGTCCAATGCCTTGATCCCAGAAGCTGCTCTATGAAAATTAGTGTAGGGATGTCTGGGTTTTTTGCCAAGCAGCATGTATCATCATCTAAACAAGTTCACCAACATCATGAACAGCGGAATTAGTGTGCCATGGTCAAAAGGCTCAAAGTAGGGCAAGCCTACAAAAACAGATTGTTTAGTGATTCTTTCTTCTTCAGGTTTCATGCTCAGAAACCAAAGGTAAAACCAGGAGCCCACTGTAAGGACATTCAGGCAAAGGTTTTTACAACACACAGACAGAATTAGTAACTTTAGATAATTATTTCATAGTTACCAAGCCAAAGCCTCCTTTGAAACACCAAATAATTCTTGTGAGAAGGGATTGTTACTTTTACACAATTGCAAGGTATACCTGCCATATGCTCTGGTTTGGCCTACTGCAATGTTATCATTCATTCCTCATTGAGAATGACTGAAGAGGGATCACAGTAAGTTGATGCTCTAGCATCATTAGCTGACATCTACCAGCTATGGTCAAATGGGGCCAACAAAATTTCAGTGAATTGCTGCAATGGATAGGTTTTAATCAGAAACAAAAGTTTTAGTGGGCTTTGCAAGCTAGAGACAGTCCAGTATCCTTACAATACACAAACACACCAAAAAACAAGACAAATAGCTAGTATAGAAGTGTATGAAACTATCTTCAGATTTCCAGTTTTATTAGAACAGCAACATCCACATTCTTAAGTAGCCGCCTAACAGCTGCAGAAAGGCTGACAGTGCCTGTTCATTAATTTGTAGCTTAAGGCCATAGAAATAGTCTCTGGAGCTTTATTGCCAGGTATAGAGGTGGCTTTAAACCACTTAAGATAAAGCTTCATTTTCTTCTGGATTTTAGAGTAAAGCTGCTATACACTAGTTTATATCTAAACTTTCAACACTGGCTTTCTGGCCAACACAAACTATACTGTCACATGCCCCAGAAGATCATCCCATGACAGAAGTTTTCAGCTGGATTTTAAAGAAATAGCCACAGAAGAAATACATTCATGGAACTGTCTCCATTTGGTAAAATATTTGGGTTTTATACTTTGACCAGAAGGTTAGGGCTTCTCCATCCTTCTCACATCAAAAACGTTACAGCAGCTACAGCTTCAGATGCTTCACTTAGTGCTTCCTATAGCTTCATAGGGGATTATGTACTTGCTAAAACAGCCTCCAGTAGTGCAACTGGCATAGTGTTACCAAGTGAAAAAACTTTAAAGAATAGTTTCCCTATAGTTATAAGCTCATAAATCTACACTGCATTATTTATTTGCCCAGATGAAAAACAGTAGAGACCTGATTGCTCTGAAGTTCAAGCTGACACTTTTTTGGCAAATCATCTAAAAATAAAGATGTATCAAAATACTCTAGCATCACATGCCTACCTGGATCACAGCCATATGTCCTACAAAGATTAGTCATTGTTCCATTTGATTTGGTCTGTTCAGCACTGTACTAGAGTGAACTCTTAATACATGACAATGAAGGCCTGCATTGTATGTGCAAAAATAAAAGGAGTCCAAGTCACTAGCTAAACTAATATACTAATAAGAAACACTATTCAGACTTGGTTACTTTATTTACACAGTAACAGACCTCAACACCAAACTAGTTTGGTACCTTTGGACTAGGCTCTTGAACCTAGTTTAATCAAAACCCTTTACAGAAAAAATCGGCAGCTCAGAGCAAATATATGTAATAAATCTGTAAATCTACTCCCCTTCGGAAGTTTCTTTCATCCAATCCATTCCACTTCTGTCTCCCTAGTCAATGTCCTGTGAAGTTCTTAGCCTTCCAGATGTCCTTTTCTGAATTACTGATCAATGGAACAGTTAATGTTTGTAAAGGTGCAGTACCTGGATTGTTGAACAGAAAAACAAAGTCACCTGAATCAGTAAATTTTTATTGTTTGAAGAGGAGTCTAAAAATATCTAACTGGTAGCAATGTCTAGAATAGGCTATTAGAAGAGGAATTAACCACAGTTAGAGCATACTTGCAGTATGATGCAAGATTTGCAGTAGTAGAGAAATAGGGAATTAATGCTGATTATGCATCCCTAAACACATCCACACTGAGTCAGTGTTTAGTCATTACTCCACCACAAGCTTTACTGGACTAGGAAACTGAACAATGCTGAAGTCAACTATGTGTACCAGCAGATTTGATCCTTCTCATGGTGGGAGAAGAGTCTGCAACTTCAAGCCTTGCCAAACACACAAAGGACAGGAAATTTGGTACTGCTGAAGGACAGAAAATTTCCAAGACACATTCACCTGATCAAGAGTTCCACTTTGCAAAACTATAGCATAAGACAAATGCTTTCCGGGCAAGTTATACTTTCCGTT